AGAGAGAGAGAGAGAGAGAGAGAGAGAGAGAGAGAGAGAGAGAGAGAGAGAGAGAGAGAGAGCGAATGAATATAGATAGTACTTCATACTTAAATCATACATTATAATTTCCATAAAAAGTTCATAGTGCTTTCTCCTAAATAAGTCTCTTTACATTCACAACCACATTTGAGATAAACAGTACAATAATGTTATCTTCATTTTACAAATAAGAAAGCTAAATCTCAGAATATGTATCTTCTCAAAGGCACATGAGTAAGAGGAACTGAAATTAAAGTTTAGCTTTTTCATTATAGCATTAACATAGCATCCTCTGAATTGAATGGTTTAATTTCTAAAATCACATGAATATGTGGAATGGTAGTTAGGTGAACAGATGAATAGAGTTTATCACATTACTTTGGGTTTCAGACAGTTTCAGTTGTCATTTAGAAACTTAGATTTCAAAGAATTTCACCACCCTTTAAATTATGTACCTTCTCTCATGTCATCTTTCTAACAATCTTCAGCAAAAAGGTAGAACCAGATACTATCCGACTCCTGATGTGTCCCTCTGCTGCCCTTTCCACTTGTTAGTAAAAGTCCTACCAATTCAGGGTTTAGCTTTTTTGGCATGAAAGATTGAAGCAGTTTTCTTCAGAAACCAGTGGACTGGCTTTTTATTATTGGATTTAAAAGTTGCTGATTTTAATTAGACTGAGGAGCAAGCTATTTTTTTCTCTTTCAATGGAGTAGTTCAAAGCAGAATTCCCTTGCTAGAATAGAAGTGGATCAACACGATCATAGCTTTGTCCACTTAAATCCCATTTTTTTTCTGTTTCAGTTGACCCTAGGCCATGCCCTTTTGGCACCAAAACTGTACCTATTCTGTTTATTGGCACAACGGTTAGGAAGTTCTGCACCCTAATGTAGCTGTAGGAGCCTTGGTAATCTGTTGCTTAGCATATACATCTCTGAATCCCAAAACAACCAAATGAAGCTTTTAATTTTGGGAGCCAATATCATATAATATTTTAAGTTTCTAGGTTTATTGCTTCAAAAAAATAGTCTAAAATTTTACTTTATACTTCCCAGCACTGATTTTGTCTTCACTACTAGTAATAATAGCTAATTTACTCTGTTCATTGCTTGCCCATCTTTGTTCTGAATTTTCACAAAACAGTAGTAAGTATCATCATTATTATTCCTGTAAGTATGTAAGAAACTGACTTGCAAGGAAAATAAGCGAGTAGCCAGAAGCCATGAAAGCCAGGACCCTGCACAGCTGGGATCTTGCTTCAGCGCATATGGCCCCAGAGTCTGTGCATTTAGGGATTGTGCTGTGCAAACTCTCAAAGACAGACTGTGGGGAACATCGTTCCTCAAATAACAGCAATTCTTAAAGAGAGCTCCTCTGAAATCACTTTTGATTTTTATATCTAAAATGTTATTAGCAAATATGTCTGGAGTGTCACATTTTAAAATAAAACTGTAGGTCAACATAATCCTTTAAAATTGCTCCAAGAGCACAGTGTGAATATTATTGCTGTACTTTCTTCCCACTCCTCTCCCCTAACACACAGATATCTATAAAAAAATACAAGCAAGACCATTTAACAGAAACCCTATTATCAAACTTAGGGTTTAAAAAAAAGATACTGAAGTTACTCACTTTTCCCTAAACTGAAGTGATATGAATTTGATCACTGTGCAAATTTTACATTACTTTTAACTTTATTACAACATAAATAAATATTAAAAAATTGTGCTTACCGTCTTAGGTGGATAGAGTTTTACTTTTAGCATCTTGGGGCGTTTGGGATTCTTCTGAGAAAGCATAACACATTGCTATTAGAAAATGAACTCCAACAAGAAAAAATAATTGCAATATTTTAGTTAGAAATAGCATATACTCACAGTGACTCCATTCAGAAGCTTCTGTAAGTCTAGCAGTAGTTGTTCCAGCTGGTCCTGTGTCTCCTGTGTAGAGCTTGAAGTGGGTGCACTGCTTGTGAGGAGTGCAAGAGTTAGTGCAATGCAAGACAAGAGTAGCATCTTGTACATTGTGGCAGGAGTTGAGGTTACTGTGAGTAGTGATTAGAAAGGATGATAGGAAGCTCTTGAACAAGACAGCAATTTATACTGTTAAATCTGGAAAAATAGTATGGGGGTGTCGTAATGTTTTACATATTACACATATTTTCAAAAACTCTACCTGTGTGGCAGAAAGCATTACCTTTGTTTTTCCTCCTCTGATGACTCTTTGGAATTTCTTTAAACCCCCATAAACTGACTGAATGGATGTAGGTGAAATCCCTCTTGGTTACCTTAGCCCACACTTAGGTGGCAGTTTTAATACATTACAACTAACGCCTTCTGTATGAAACAATTTTTCCTCTTTTCTTTAAGGGGGTGGAGATACAAAAGTAACTCATGAAAATTTTCTCTTTGTCATAAGACTGTGCCGAATGTGTAAGCAGGGTGTTGTGGTGGACAAGAAGAGTAAATAGATGAAATGGATAGCTTTGAGATTTGTTGATTAGACAGGAAGAATATTGGTTTCCTGTTTCAGGATGGTTTTACCTTTTATCTACACAGTGAGCTAATTGCACACAATGTGACAGATTACTTCTTACACTGTTAGCTAGAAAAATATTAAGGTACATAAAAAGGCTTACTGAGTTTGGAGCAATATTTTATTGTGTCTTAAATTTAAACTGTTTGTGTTTATGTTTAAATATCTTAGTGCCTGCTATGCTTTTCTTTTAAACAGTGTGATATTTGACAAGTACTGAAAAAAAGTTAGCATCCATACATGTTGATACTAGTTTGGTAATAATAGACTTTATATGTGTCATATTTAAATCAAGCCATGTTTCTAGCTATGTTTTCTCTGTAATTGATTTGGATTTATTCTCTAAAGTACCTATGGCATTTTGAGTGTAACAATAGTGGTTATGAAATATGAGCAGATCAATATATTTTTCAGTTGGTAAACTGCATAGACTACTTAGATGTGTTCACTGGTCCTCAATATAAAACACTAACTGGGTGAATGATGGTATAGCTGTGTACTTCTAATCTGGGGAGAACTGAAAATATGTTTTCCTAAGAGATTGCCTGTAACATCTCCATCTCTACTGCGTTATTTATTTCAAGTCTAATCTTTAAACAAACATTCATTCAGGTAGCACTTCAAAGGGCCTCAAACGAATAGAAAGGGGTGGAGGAGTATGAGGCACGCAGACTGATTTGAACTTTACATAAACCTGTGAAGTGGTGGCTGCCTGTTTGTCCCAGTCTGCAGATTAAAAAACTAAGAATTAGAGAAATTAAGTACAATAAGTTGTTTTGGATCACTGTGTTCTTACTACCAGTAATTGGCAAAACAAGAATTTGAAACAACAATGTTCTGACTCCAAAAGCTGTTTCCTTAACATTTTATTCTTTCTCAGCCTGATATATAATAGGAAAGACAGACCAATGTAATCCTAGGTAAGAGGTGAGTGTTTCGTCAGCAGAGGGGAATGTAAAGAATTGTGACAATGAACAATTACAGAATGAATTTTGATAATGAAGAAGGTAGGAAGAGTAGAAACAGTTAAACATCAGAAGGAACACTCAGTAGTAATCTTCTACAAAGGACAGAGAAAATGGTTTAGTAATGCTTATCTATGCTTTGGGCAACATTATACAGAACATAAAATTTCTTCATAACAAATTAAGATAAGCGTCACATTTTCTCAGGTGGAAAAACCAAGTTAGGGACAGGTCTTATGATTTTTTTTCTGTCACCTAATATTTCAAAACATCCCTCTGGCCCTTCAGATTGAAACATTGTTGTAAAGAGAAAGCTGCCAGTGTGTGTCAACTTTATTACACTTGTTTCACTTCTCTTAAGGCCTCTGTGTCTCATCCCAGCATCATCAGCTCAGCCCTCTACCCTTCCAAAATGGAAGGATTCAGGCCCACACATTTTCCTGTGTAGGGACTTTTCCAGTGGGGCCTTTGATGTGCTGAAGGTCTTGATATTTATATTTCTCCAGCTTTTCCATTAGAGATGGGGTGCTATAGACATTTCTGGGACATTGTAGATAACTGAGTCTTGGGCTGATAGCTTATCAGGATTATTGTATAACAGACACCAGTACAAAACTTGGCCTTGCAATCTCTTGAAATGCTTGAGGAGAAAGCTACTGTACACTGTGGCATGCTTTCTATTTTTAACATGCCTGACACATAAGCTGGCTTTTTTGGCTGTCTGTGGTGGTGACATAATCATTACTAGACCGCTAACTACCACATGTGTTATACCCCCTCACTTCTCCTTTCACCATGTAAAACTTTATTACTCAACAAGAAGATATTTTAGTTGCTTAGCACTTTTTGTGACTCTGCTTCTTAGAGTTGACAAACCCAAGTCCTTTACGAAGGGCAGCCTCGGTTCCTGTATCTGCTTCCCAAAGAGGTTGGTCTATCTGTCACATGTATTTTTCACCTTTTAAAGCTGACTTTCAAGGACCCCCACCTGCCACAAGAATTTCTTCTCTCCAATCTTCTTTCACAGTTTTGTAAGGCTTTAATTTGGTCTGGAACTTGATGCCCATCTTAATGTTTCTCCGAAAGCCTCTTGGCTTTTCAGTTCAGCTTCAGTTCTCTCCCTTTGAAATTAGGACACACCAATGATGTTTAACATACCAAATCATCCAGAGAGAGTTCAGCTAGGAGTTTGTGTCTCTTGTGATCACAGACTTGCAGATTTACAAAAGTGTCACATTTGGAAGTACCATAGAGCTGATAAAGAAATGCAGGCACCAACCAATGCTTGAGAAGATCTACATTTTCATAGGAAACACAAACATCCTAGCTGCTGTAAATACTGTTCTTCTGTATGGTAAGTTTTAATGATGTTCACAATGTTTTGGGGTGGAAGAATTATTTAGTTGGTATTTCTAATTTTTCAAAGGATATTCAAATTGATTGACTCATTGAATCATGTTTTACTGATAAGAAATCTGACATCCCCAAAGTTAAGTTCTTTGCCCCAAATCATTGTCGTTGTCTTCTTCTTCTTCTTCTTCTTCTTCTTCTTCTTCTTCTTCTTCTTCTTCTTCTTCTTCTTCTTCTTCTTCTTCTTCTTCTT